GGGGGGGCAGGGAAGAGGTCATCCCAAAGCAGCAGGTCCCAACAGCCACAGCTGGCTCTTCCTAGCACTTGGCCCTGAACAGAGAAGCAGAGCCCCCAAAGGCAAGGGTGCCCCCCCAGGAGGGCAGCTCAAGAAAATAGGGGTTCCCAAAGCCACGGCCATGGGACCAGCATTGCAGCACCAACTCCTCTGCCTTGCTGACTTATGAATAAACCATGGGGATGAGTGTATTGAAAGAACTGAGACTCTTAAAGGATCCAAGGCTGAGCCCCACCCCAAACCCCACACAGTGTTGGGCGCCCAGAGGGAATCAGCTTCAAGTCCATTCTGCCTGAACTAACAACTCTGGTTCATGGGCAGGAGGGAGCAGTGACCCTTGAGCCAGCAAAGGGACACCACTCCCAGAGCCTTGGGAGGATCACAGGACATCCACCCTCTCTATCTCCAGACCCCAGGGTTCCCATGTGGGGGTCTCTGGACCTCTTTGGGATGTCCCCACATTGTCCTTCTGCCTTGTCTAGAAGACTCGGGGCCCCAGAACTCCTAGTCAAGACCCCCTCTTTGGCTGTTTGCCAGTGAGACCAGGTTTGAGGGCCTTCAAGAGGTTCAGGGGAGAGTAGGAAATCCTCAAAGCAGGAGCAAAAGGGCAGCATGTGTCAGAGCCAAGAGCCAGTGTGACATTCACCTCATAATAATAGCAATAAAAATAATGATGGCTGACAAGAATGGGGCATTTGCTGTCTGCCAGGCACTGTGCCAAGCATTTTACATGGATTAGCTCGTAGTATAGGTGTAGGACTTGGCATATAAGAGAATTCCCTCAGAGGGTTGAACTGAAGGAATCAGAAAGCAAAGCCTTCCCTTGGAGAGGTAGGGAGGCATCCAAAACCCAGCCACTGTCAGGAGCTGTTACCTGCCCAGGTGCTGAAGTGGGGAGGGAACCTGAACTGGATTGGGGATGGGCCACCTGATGGTACACATGGAGGAACAGAGCCCTAACAGAGACTAGGGACCAATGCAGGAAGCAAGCCTGTGGGTAGAAATTCCCCAGCTTTTCTCTCCTTGTGCCCTGACTCGTGCCTGCACCTCCCATTGGCCAAGCCCAGCCAAAAGGGAGCCAGAGGCCCGGGATCCAGGGGGATGCTCAGAATAGGCAGAGAAGAGCAGAGAATAGATCTGGGTGGGGTGCTGCCCAAGAAAGAGGGTATTGTACCATTTCACAGATGAGGAAACTGAGGCACAGTGCTCAGGGAAGTGAGGCACCTGCCTAAGTTTACACAGCCAAGGCTGCTGACTCCTGAGAACGCATTTGTGTTTCCTGGGCTATCCCCATGTGATCCCCCAGCAGAAAGAAATCAATTGACCCATTCTCTATCCTGGAAGACTGGCAGGGCTGGGGAACTACACAGAAGAAGGCCATTCCTTGGTTCATCTCCCAACACCCTCACCCAAGTGGTATCCTGGCTACACTTCTTTGCCTTCAGCTCCAGTGATCCAGAAGTTCCTCCTTCCCCTCATCTCACCCCTGATACTTTCCTTTAGAGAGGTAATGCCCACCTGGGGTCTGTCCCTATTGGGGTGCCCCCACCTGGCCACTGTCCCCTGTCAGAGAGCCAGAGCCTAGACCTCACCTTTGTCCTAAGTTTCTAAGAGGTCTTAGCTCCAGCTGGCATCTTACCATCCAGCTGAGCTCTAGACAGCCTTGAACCAATGACCCTCTAGGTCAAGAGGTTGGAAGGAGTGGCCCACCACCCCAGTAAGGCAGGTGGAGAAAGTTAGTTATAACCTCCATTTGCCAGTAAGAGATCCATAGGGCTGGACCCCAACAGCTCATTCTCCTGGCTGCAAGGCAGGGGAGGCAGGAGGGTGGGCAGCATGGGATCCAATTCAAGGACATCAGGACTATTGCAGTAGCCAACAGCCCTCCCTACGAGCTGTTTGACTTTGAGCAATGGTATTACTTCTTGACCTGTATAAAGGGATAATCTTCATAACTAACCCCAGCAGATCTTGCAAGCCTCCCATTCATTCATGCAATCAGTAAGCATGCATTGAGCACCTGCTGTGTGCCAGGCACTTTTGTAGGTGCTGGAGACAGAGCAGTGAACAAGTCAAAATATACAAGAAAGCTGCCCCAAAGGGCTGACATTCTAAGGAGAAAAATGGCAACTTCTAACAAGTCAGAGCCATCTGTGTGAAGTGCTTGACACAGAACCTACCAGAAAATAAATAGTTCACAAATAGTGGCTATGGTTATTGCTATTATTACCGTGAATGTACTTGGAGTTTTAGTTTGTTAGCCAGCCCCCCAGCTCTGAGTTAGAATCATTCAGAGGGAAAGATAGAGGGCGGGTGTTTGGACCCTTTTAAGAATGATAAACCCAACCTGGAGTGGGGGAAGGCCTGCCCTGCCGGGCAAGGAGCCCACAGTCATCCCTTCTGCCTCCCAGGTAAGCCCACTAGGTCTGAGGCAGAAGGAACCAGACCCTCGGGAGGGCAGGTCCCCAGGGTTTTGGGGGGAGAGGGCATGAGACCCACTGGGCCTCAACTGCTGCCCGCAAGTGGCCGGGGTGACGTGGGTTTGCCCTGCGTGCGATGGATAATGACTGTGTTTCTTGTCTTGTCTCTTTTCATGCCTGCTCTTTAAACTGTATATTGGCACAACGCCGTCTGAAAAACTCATCCAATCAAAATGCACTATGAAATTCATTTGTTCATCCATGACGTGGTCTGTGTGTTCATACACCAATGACTATCTCCCAACCCACCACCACCACCCCCACTCCCCGCCCGGGAACCGAAACCCATTGGTTTTTTGGCACTGGTTACAAATCAACCTAAAAAACGCTGAACACGCCTCCCCAACTGTCCCCG